CCCTTATGTGTATTATACATGGAGATCATATCCCCCCCTTATGTATTATACATGGAGATCACAATATCCCCCCTTATGTATTATACATGGAGATACATATCCCCCCCTTATGTATTATACATGGAGATCATACACCCCCCTTATGTATTATAACATGGAGATCATATCCCCCCTTATGTATTATACATGGTGATCATATCCCCCTTATGTATTATAGACATGGAGATCATATCCCCCTTATGTATTACTATATACATGGAGATCATATCCCCCCCTTATGTATTATACATGGAGATCATCATCCCCCCCCTTATGTATTATACATGGAGATCATATCCCCCCTTATGTATTATACATGGAGATCATATCCCCCCCTTATGTATTATACATGGAGATCATATCCCCCCTTATGTATTATACATGGAGATCATATCCCCCCTTATGTATTATACATGGAGAATCATATCCCCCCTTATGTATTATACATGGATGAATCATATCCCCCCTTATGTATTATACATGGACATCATACAAAATAACCCCCCCCGCATGGACAATCATATCCCCCCTTACTGTAGATGATGTACATGGAGAGATATCATCCCCCCCCCTTATGTATTATACATGAAGATCAATATCCCCCCCTTATGTATTACACACATACATGGAGATCATATCCCCCCTTAATGTATTATACATGGTGAGATCATATCCCCCCTTATGTATTATACATGGAGATCATATCCCCCCTTATGTATTATACATGGAGATCATATCCCCCCTTAAGTAATTATACATGGAGATCATATACCCCATTATGTATTTATATTCCACATGGAGATCATAAACATCCCCCCCCTTATGTTTTATACATGGAGATCATATCCCCCCTTATGTATTATACATGGAGATCATATCCCCCCTTATGTATTATACATGGAGATCATATCCCCATGTATGTATTATACATGGAGATCATATCCCCCCTGTATTATTATACATGGAGATCATATCCCCCTTATGTATTATACATGGTGATCATATCCCCCTTATGTATTATACATGGAGATCATATCCCCCCCCTTATGTATATACACATGGATGAAATCATATCCCCCCTTATGTATTATACATGGAGATCATATCCCCCCTTATATTGTATTATACATGGAGATCATATCCCCCCCCCTATGTATTATACACATGGAGATCATATCCCCCCTTATGTATTTATACATGGAGAGATCATATCCCCCCCCTTATGTCTTAACACATGGTGACGAATTCATATCCCACCCCCCTTATGTATTATACATGGAGATCATATCCCCCCTTATGTATTATACATGGAGATCATATCCCTCCCCTTATGTGTATTATATACATGGAGATCATATCCCCCCCTTATGTATTATACATGGAGATCATATCCCCCCCTTATGTATTATACATGGAGATCATATCCCCCCCTTATGTATTATACATGGAGATCATATCCCCCCTTATGTATACATATATACATGGAAATCATATTGGAGATCCCCCCCCTTATGTATTATATACATGGAGATCATATCCCCCCTTATGTATTATACATGGAGATCATAATCCCCCCTTATGTATTATACATGGAGATCATATCCCCCCTTATGTATTTATACATGGAGATCATATCCCCCCTTATGTATTATACATGGAGATCATATCCCCCCTTATGTATTATACATGGAGATCATATCCCCCCCTTATGTATTATACATGGGAGATCATATCCCCCTTATGTATTATACATGGAGATCATATCCCCCTTATGTATTATACATGGAGAGATCATATCCCCCCTTATATATTATACATGGAGATCATATCCCCTCCTTATGTATTATACATGGAGATCATATCCCCCCTTATGTATTATACATGGAGATCATATCCCCCTTATGTATTATACATGGAGATCATATCCCCCCTTATGTATTATACATGGAGATCATATCCCCCCTTATGTCTTATATACATGGAAATATCATATCCCCCCTTATGTATTATATACATGGAGATCATATCCCCCCTTATGTATTATACATGGAGATCATATCCCCCCTTATGTATTATACATGGAGATCATATCCCCCTTATGTATTATTTATCATGGAGAATCATATCCCCCCCTTATGTATTATATATGGAGATCATATCCCCCCTTATGTATTATACTATGGAGATCATATCCCCCCCTTATGTATTATACATGGAGATCATATCCCCCTTATGTATTATTCATGGAGATATCCCCCCCTTATGTATTATACATGGAGATCATATCCCCCCTTATGTATTATACATGGAGATCATATCCCCCCCCTTATGTATTATATACATGGTGATCATATCCCCCCTTATGTATTATACATACATGGAGATCATATCCCCCCTTATGTATTATACATGGAGATCATATCCCCCCTTATGTATTATACATGAGATCATATCCCCCTTTATGTATTATACATGGAGATCATATCCCCCCTTATGTATTATACATGGAGATCATATCCCCCCTTATGTATTATACATGGAGATCATATCCCCCCTTATGTATTATAACTACATGGTGATCATATCCCCCCTTATGTATTATACATGGAGATCATATCCCCCCCCCCTTATGTATTATACATGGAGATCATATCCCCCCCTTATGTATTATACATGGAGATCATATCCCCCCCTTATGTATTATACATGGAGATCATATCCCCCCTTATGTATTATACATGGTGATCATATCCCCCCTTATGTATTATACATTCTGTACTTCCTCCAGTTCCCCAATGTTCTTTTTGTGAGATGAGGTGTTACTATTGATTTGTACCAGGGGAGGGGGGGGGTGATATCTCTCTCTGGAGTCTATACCTCGCCCAATACAGAGAGGATTTTGCTCGCTCTATAACCCGCAGCTTGGCATAAATAGACCGACACAAAGTGGCACATAATTGTGAAGTGGAAGGAAAATGAGAAATGGTTTCCAACATTTGTGACCAATAAATCCATGAGAAGTGTGGCGGCATTTGTATTCGGCCCCCCGGAGTCAGTACTTTGTAGGACCCCCTTTGGCTGCCATTCCAGCTGCAAGTCTTTTTGGGGATGTCTCTTTGCACATCTAGAGAGGGACATTTCTGCCCGTTCTTCTTTGCAGAATCCCTCAAGCTGTCAGATTGGATGGAGGGCGTCTGGGAACAGCAATTTTCAGGTCTGGCCACAGATTCTCCATTGGATTTGGGTCTGGACTGTGACTGGGCCATTCTAACCCATGAAGATGCTTTGATCAGAACCATTCCATTGTAGGTCTGGCTGGATGTTTCGGGTCGTTGTCCTGCTGGAAGGGGAACCTCCTCCCCGGTCTCAAGTCTTCTGCAGACTCTAACAGGTTTCCTTCTAAGATTGCCCTGTATTTGGCTCCATCCATCTTCCCATCAATTCTGACCAGCTTCCCTGTCCCTGCTGAAGAAAAGTATCCCCACCACATGATGCTGCCACCACCATGTTTCACGGTGGGGATGGTGTGTTCAGGGGGATGGGCAGTGTTGGTTTTCCCCCACACATAGCATTTTGCTTTTAGGTCACAAAGTCCCATGTTGGTCTCCTCTGACCAGAGCCCCTTCTTCCACATGTTTGCTGTGTCCCCCTCCCCCCCACATGGCTTCTCACCAACTGCAGACGGGACTTCTTATGGCTTTCCTCCAACAATGGCTTCTTCTTGTCACTCTTCCATAAAGGCAGATTTGTGGAGTGATGACTAATAGTCCTCCTGAGGACAGATTCCCCCCCTGAGCTGTGGATCTCTGCAGCTCCTCCACAGTTCCCATGAGCCTCTTGGCTGCTTCTCTGATGAATGCTCTCCTTGCCCGGCCGGTCAGTATAGGTGGACGGCCATGTCTTGGTAGGTTGGCAGTTGCGCCGTACTCCTCCCATGTTCGGATGATGGATTGAACACAGTGCTCCGTGAGATGGGCAAAGCTCGGGAGATTGTTTTTATAACCTAACCCTGCTTTACACTTCTCCACAACTTTATCCCTGACCTGTCTGGTGTGTTCCTTGGCCTTCATGATGCTGTTTGGTCACTAATGTTCTCTAACAAACCTCTGAGGGCTTCACAGAACAGCTGGATTTATACTGAGATCACATGACACACAGGGGGACTCTATGTACTAATTAGGGGGACTTCTGAAGGCAGTTGGCTCCACTAGATTGTAGTTAGGGGGATCAGAGTAAAGGGGGCTGAATACAAATGTCGCCACACTTTTCACAGATTTATTGGTCACAAATGTAGAAAAAACATTTCTCATTTCTCATACATTGACGGTTCTGGTTGTCACATGACAACATGGGGGACATTTCGGGGGGGAGGGGGACATTTCGGGGGGTGAAGACTTTCTCAAGGTGCTATAAGTTCTGTCCTATAAGAAATGTTCGCTCTTTCGGTTGTATCACATTCTGTGAGTCGAACTTTCCCAAGATAAACGTGTGGAAAGTCTGGAAAGAGTAAAAATCATCAACAATTTCCAAAGCCTTCGTCTTCCTCTCCGTGTCCAATCACCGGATTGTGGGTTCGATTTCTCCAATTGTTTCCGGTCAGATTGTGAAAATGAAAATGACGGTTTGGTCATCAAACTGCCACTTAGTTGTAATTTCTGTAAGATTTGAGTCGTTTCTATGATATTAGTCGTATTATAAACTGTATATCCGGCACTGAGGTGATCGATAGGAATTTCTGGGGGTGAGAACTCGATTACTGAGAGGATTGGTCAGCGGGATGCTGGCCATAGACAGTCTGGTCTGATGAACGATCTATAGATCCCCCAAGATCGATGTCATGTCAGGGTCTGCCTGGATACAATGGACATGAATGGTTTGGGTGGGTCCTCGTATGTCTCCAGTCTGGAGGACGATTTCCCGTCCTGAAGATTTATTTGTTGTATTTCATTTCTCCTTCTCAGGTTTCCTCCTCCAGCCGTTATTGGGGGCGTGGAGTGACACCTGCACATCCAGCTTCGGCAGGAGGAGACCCTTCATACTCGTCCTCGCCATAGGTGAGTGATGAGAAGACGGTTCATGTGCACCAGCAAAGTCCCAACAATAGGGGGCCCCTGGGCAAATGTGCCAACAATAGGGGGCCCCCGGGCAAATGTCCCAACAATAGGGGGCACCCCGGGCAAATGTGCCAACAATAGGGGGCCCCCGGGCAAATGTCCCAACAATAGGGGGCACCCCGGGCAAATGTCCCAACAATAGGGGGCACCCCGGGCAAATGTCCCAACAATAGGGGCACCCCGGGCAAA